ACCTAACCATGCCAGGAGTACGGTAGACTCTGGATAGACAGGAGGCCTCTTCTTTTCCAATGGGGCAGGATATATTTAAGTTGGATCACAGGAAGATGAGACTGTTCTGGGGCTTTCCAAGTACAGGAGGGGAGCCTCCTGATCGTCTCTGCATTTGGTTGTCTCTTTTTGGAGGCACAATACTGGATTAGTGGACTCTGGAGAAACCTTTATCATGTTCTTAATTTCTTATGCCCTTAAGCATGTGCTGAGGTAGAGAGGTGAGGACCAGTTTTACTTATAAGAAATCATAAGCAAATCCTGCGTCCTAGTGCTTTGCTCTGATTATGTTGAAGCACTACCCCAGGTTAGCTTTTTCACTGGGATAAAACCAGTAACTGGCTCAACAAGACTACAGTGGACAGCGTGCATGAACAAAATAGCGTTATGTGTCTTGTTTCCTCAGACAACCCAGCAAGATGAAAACTGATCTCCATTTTGGAGATAATACCCAGGTTGTCTTTGTGTTTGGACCTTCAGGTAAGGGCATCTGAGTATCTTCTCTTTTGGACCTAGGGGTTTTTAAGAAAAGACCACGGCCTACAGGATATGGGGAATGGAGGTGGATTTGTTCCCTTTTCCTACCTCCCCATCTCTCACCCCTGTAAAAAACAAAATTTCCTTTCTGCTCCTTGCTATTTATTTTCTTACCGGCAGTCTGCACTGTTCCCTGGTGGGTCAGGGGCAGGCTCAGTGTGGGGTGCCAGGTAGCCCCGCGGTCTGTGTCCCTGAGGATCTTCATCACCACAGAGACACTAGGTCCCCCTTCTGAGACCTGCATGTTGGCCATGAACCAAGCTGCTGTCTCAGCTTTGGCCTCCTTGGCCTGGGGAAAGTAGCGGGAGATCTCACAGGTCACCTCCTTCCCGCCGCAGTCAGCATGGAGCAGGGCCTTGGCCTCAGGAATCTGGATCAGGTCCACTGGGGAGAAGGGGGCACATGGAGGGTGAGATGGAGTGAGGATACCAGGAAGCAGGTGTGGGTGGGTATAATTGGGAACTGAGCTGTCCTGGTGGAAGGAGCCCAGAATGACTAAGGACACAAGGTGGATAGTTTTTACCTGAGGCCTCGAAGATAACAGTTGGTGGGTCATCTCGGACCAGTGCACCCCCTTGGAAATCGGTGAAGTCTTCCAGGGAGCCATCATCCAGCACTGGCACCTGCTGCAGCACGAGCAAGGCCTTCACCCTGTTCTCACTGCGCACAAGAGTGCCGCGGTGCCCACTTTCCTCCACTAGGAAGCAGTCCAAGACCACGTCCACTGGCCGCCACTGCCCTGCTGCTGCACTGGGCTCTGTAGGCAGAAGCCTGGGTGAGCACCACTGTCCAGAAGCTACTCCATACTCGCTTCCCCTCTGCCAAGCTGTGGAGTCACTCGGGGATAAAATGCGTCCTCCAGGTTCCTGGCTGTTTGTGTGTCCCTCTCTTCTCCTACCATCCCTCTAACCAGCTTTCTGGGAGCACCTGCTGCTCCAGTCAAATATTTGTCAGTGTGGATTATTTAAAGTCTTTGGATTTGCCTTGCTCAGAAGGGTTTATCCTTTTATTTCCAACTGTGGGGGGGGGGCGGGGGTTGAGGTAGCGTAGTAATTTGTCTCCCTAGGTAGAGTGCCGTGGCTCATAACTCACAGCAACCTCAAACACTTGGCCTCAAGTGATCCTCCTGTCTCAGCCTTCTGAAGAGCTGGAACTACAGGCACCCACCACACCTGGCTGGTTTTCTACTTTTAGTTGAGACCGGGTTTTGCTCTTGCTAAGGCTGGTCTCAAACTCCTGGGGTCAGGCAGTCCACCTGCCTTGGCCTCCCACAGCGCTGGGATTATAGGCATGAGCCACTACACCTGGCCTTACTTTCAACTGTTGAATGAATAACTATATTTTTCAGTCAAAGGAATTCTTAGGAAAAAAAAAAAAACACAAATGAGCAAATACTGCCAAGGGGAGAGGACACTGGACACTTGCTCTTGCCGGGGGCATTGACCACCATTTTCTCTAACTTCCCCCCAGCCCAACCCATCTGCCCTGCTCTCTGCCTTACAGGTAGCCTTCCCCTCCCCCACGTCCCAAGTGATTTCTCAGCCTGGGGAATCCCTTCCTCTTCTGAAATGTAAGCTCCCAGTCCTATGCTCTCTGTAGTAGGACAATGGCTCCCAGGCCAGATCCATTCCCCACACACATTGGTTCCTGCTGTGCTCTCTTGGGCACAGAGGAAATTGGAAGTCATCCTAGGCCCCTTTGCCCTTCTCAAATGTCTAGGGAGGGTAGCTTCCTGGGGCTTCACTACCCCCACACCTGTCCCCAGCCAGCTTTCCCCCACTCACCAACTCGACTCGACTCACCAGTTTCTGCTGCCGTAGACAGAGCCAAACAGAGCAGCAGGCACCACCCCGCCTCCGTGCCCATGGGGGCTGCTCTTGGCCCCTCCTCCTGTACTGCCCTTCTCCACAATCCCACCCAGCTTGCAAGCCCAGGCTGGAGAAGAGGGGACTCTGCACTGGCCAACAGCCTGTGGGGTTCTTTCCCTTCTTCTCCACAGCCCGGCAACTTCTCTTTCACTTTCACTTAGAGGAAGTGTCACTGTGGTTGCCTTCCCCTCCCAGTAAAGCCATTTGTAGCAGCTCCAGAGTGCTGCTCGTTTTCCTTTTTCTCCACTTGCCTCACCCCCCAAAATCCCCAGGTGATTTCAGGATCTGACTTTACTGCACCCACTTCCTCCCCAAGACTTCCAATAAAGTGAAAATGTAAGTGTGGGAAAGCTGGAAGGCTGGAGGAGGAAGATGGGTCAGAAGCCAGACACCCGGCAGGGTAGTCTGGAGCCCTTTCCCCCCTTTACAGTTGCTGCCACACCCACCTGGCCCCCATGTTCAGACAGCCCCCCCCATCTGTACTGGAGGAAACTCCTCCCTCTAACCCTGACCTCTGACCTGGGAGATAGAGACTGGAATTTCAGAGATGAAGCTGCTGAGTGGTCCTCTGTCACTTTATTTTGTTGATTTTGTAGGTCAGCGATAATAGCATGTAGGACTTTCGTAGCAGGAAGTGTGTTTACACAGCAGCCCAGGGCCTCCTGCAGCGTACAAACACGTGCACACCCAGGGCTCCTACTTCCCACCCTCCACCTCATTCCTATTTGTTCTTGTCCCTGTCAGTCTCCAAAAAGGCACTCTGTCAAGTCTGTCCACAGGACTGGACTGCTGGTGAGGCTGCCAGGTCTCTCCCTCCTGAAGGCTGGTGGGGTGGACCGGGGCCCAGGCTCCATAGCAGTGAGGATGCCTCTGCACCTGGCTCTGGCTCAGGGGCAGGAAGCAGGCTCTGGTTTTCGGTAATCCTCCTGAATGGGGATGGCGCAGCCCTCTTCCTCCCTGGGACAGCTGTACTGACAAGGCTCTGCTGGCTCCTCTAGACTTTCTCCTTTGTCTGGAGGAGGAGAATCTGATGAGTGTTGGCCAGCAGAGGTGGAAGGAGTGAAGGGAAAAAGAGATGAGCTGAAGAGGGTAAACTTGGGGGAGGGCTGTCAGGTGGGCGCCAGCTAGGACAGTGCCAGAGTAGGACCAGGGTTGGTGAAGGCAGAGCTGGGGGGCTTTTGGTGCGGTCCCAGCAACAAGCAGCAGGGCTGAGAAGTTGGGCTATGGTGCCAGCACAGGACTGTCTCTTACTTGATCCATATTTTCTTTGCTGATGGAGGAAGAGGGCTCCACCCAGGATGAAAGCAAGAAACATTCCAGCGAGGATCATAACGATGCGGATACACGCTGGGCTGCACAGAGATCTATGGGCTGTGATAGGAAGGACCACAAAGGGGTTTAGGAGAGGGTTTAGCCCCCAGTTCCCTCAGCCCCACCCTCCTGTTATCCTTGCCACTCTCCTTTTCCCCACCTTCTTCACCCTCCGCCACCATTGGACCAAGTCCTCTCCTGATAGCTAGACTCTGCTCTCCCTCTTCTCACCCCTACTCCTAGGAGTGTTCTGGCTGGCTTCCCTTCTGGCATCTCCTGAGTGCATTCTCTCTGGGGTGGGGATTAGGGAGAAAACTCACGTGGCCAGTGGGTGGAGGGAGCAGGGACAGGCAGATGCCTGAAGTCAGCTGAAGTCCTGGCCTCTGGCTTCTCTGGAAAAACAGAGACAGAAGGAAATAGCAGCATTCTAAGAGAATGCTGGTCTGAAGGTTGGAGCAGGCTGGATGAGATGGAAAGGCAGAAATGGCTGACCTTATCTGAGGGTGGGAGTGGTAGTGGGGAGTGCTGGCTGGGTTGTCACCCCTACCCTAAATGATTAGATAGAAGGTTGCCTAGAACTAACTTTTGGCAGGGGCAGCACCTGTGGCTCAAAGGAATAAGGTGCTGGCCCCATATGCTGCAGGTGGCAGGTTCAAACCCAGCCCTGGCCAAAAAAAAAAAGAACTTACTTTTGGCATAAGGTAAGTGGGTGGGTTGAGGGTATGTGTCCAGGGCCTGAGATGGCCAAGTGGTCAGCTGGGGGCCTGGAGGAGGATCACACTCAGTGCACTCTTTGTCTCTGCACTGCCAGCCATTGGGACAGGCACACTCAGCATTGGCAGTGATGGTACAGTTTCGAATGAGAAGACCTGGGGAAAGAGGGGGGCCAGAGGAGCACAGGATTGTCAGAACTTAAGAGACCTTCGAGGTTTACTACTCAATTCCCCAAACCCTATCCCAGGCCCACCTCTAGGGACATGCTTCCCTTCCCATACCCTCTCTCCCAGGCAACTGTCTTATCATTGTTATTAAAGAAGAAGTTCAGAAGATTCATGGAATCAGAAATATAGACTATGAAAAATAGAAAGAGCTTACATAGTTTTTTCTTGCACTCACTGATACTTTAATAACTATTTATTGAAGTGCAATATACTTATAGAGAGGTACACATGTCATAAGTGTTAGCTTGAGAATTCATACAAATTGGACTCACAAGTGTAACCAGCACCAGATCAAGAAACAGAAGATGATAAGCAAGACCCTCCTAGACCCTCTCCCTGCAAGAGTATCCACTTTTTTTACTTCCTAACACCAAAAATTATCTTTGTCTATTCTTGTACTATCGAGATGGAATCATTGTATGTACTCACACTTCTGCCTGGTTTCTTTTAGTCCATATTATTGACTGTAATCAAGGTGAATTTCATCTGTATTATTGGCTGTAATCACAGGTTGTTCATTCTATGGCTGTACGGTATCCCATTGTGTGAATATACTACAGTTTATGAATCCATTTTACTATTATTGGGCATTTGGGTAGTTTCCAGTTTTTAGCAACTAGGAGTAGTGTTGCTATGATCCCTGGTATGATTTTATCTTTACTAGGGAGTTACTTGATACAGAATCCTTTGCCTTTAAAATATCAATTTTACTCAGGTATAGGAATCAGGTGCTGGGTGGCTGCAAATCAGTTATATGAGGAAGGTGGTATTAGGAGCACGGGCTGGGCTGGACTCATAGGTGGCTTGGAGGAAGGCAGCAACACAGGATGTGGGACAGGTTTGCATAGGCGCATGGTAGGGCTTAGGGCAGCATGTTTGTGGGGATCCAGGGAGTGGAACCCTGACAGGTGGAAGAGGGGTGCAGAAAAGGGATCACATCAAAGACCATTATCAACTCTAACAGTTTTTTTGCTTATGCCTTTTGTCAAGACAGGAGGAGGAAATATTCCTTCTTCTCATTCTTATGGCCCTGTCCCTTGAATTCTGACTCTGAGTCACTACTAGAATTTATTTTCTAGTAGCTCCCCAAGAATTGTGAGCCTGACTGGATGAGGATCTGAAAGAGGAAAGTGAGGGAAGCCTGGGACAGTGACGGTGGTGGGGATGGTGGTGGTGAGGGGTCTCTGCTAAAAGAGAACAGGAAGGGCTAGTGCTTAAAAAGGGAGTGAAGTGCCATTGCTTTCAGTGATCCAGAGACCCAGGGTTCTATTTACCAGCTGGATTTCAGGCACCTCACAGGTGCCTCCTCCAATCACCTCACCTCTAGCTGCAGTCCCCCAGGTCTTTGGGATCTACTGCCTGGGCCTCACAGAGAGTCAAGGCCTTCAAGTGGGGCCTGCAGAGTGGGGTGGGAGGCTTTGACTGAAAAATGCCAGCCCTGGCCAGGTGCGGTGGCTCATGACTGTAATCTTAGCACTCTGGGAGGCCTACGCAGGTGAATTGCCCTGAGCTCACAAGTTTGAGACCAGCCTGAGCCAGAGCAAGACCTCCATCTCTAAAAATAGCCGGGCGTTGTGGCAGGTGCCTGTAGTCCCAGCTACTCAGGAGGCTGAGGCAAGAGAATTGCTTGAGCCCAAGAGTTCTGATACCATGTCACTCTACTGAGAGCGACAAAGTGAGACACTGTATCAAAGAAGAAAAAAAAATGCCAGCCCTGAGGAGGCTACTGAAAAGAAAAGTGTCTATTAAAAATTATATATAGGGCGGTGCCTGTGGCTCAGTGAGTGGGGCACTGGCCCCATATGCTGGAGATGGCAGGGTTCAAACCCAGCCCCAGTCAAAAACTGCAAAAAAGGCTCAGCGCCTATGGCTCAAGTGGCTAAGGCGCCAGCCACATACACCTAAGGTGGCAGATTCGAGTCCAGCCTGGGCCCGCCAAACAACAATGATGGCTGCAACCAAACAATAGCCAGGCGTTGTGGCGGATGCCTGTGGTCCCAGCTACTTGGGAGGCGGAGGCAGGAGACT